ATCGGCGAAGGGTGGCAAAGTTGGGATGGCCTAGGCGATGGTGAAGGAGAATGGTGGGGTGTGTGAGATCACGGCAGTGACAGGGGGAGGGTGTGTTAGATGGGGGGGAAGGGGCGGGGGGAGGGGGAGGGGGAGGGGGAGGGGGAGGGGGAGGGGGAGTGGGAGGTGGGGGGGAGGTTCGAGAGGAGGGGAAGGGGCGGGGGGATGGGGTGTGGAGAGTTGGTGAAGGGTGGGACGGGGGATGCGGAAGGCGTGCATGTGGGTGGAGGGGCACCGATGGACACGGCAGAGGAAGCGACCGGAGGAGGTGTGAAATAAGTCACAATATGTTGCGTGACCAGGAAATATGGCGGTGACACCTGCTGTTGAGAGGGCACCAAGGGATACCAGGTTGTTACGAAGGGAGGGGATATAGAGACTTGTGACGGTACCTGAGGGAAAGAGGGGACAGGGGAGTGTGGAGGTGTAACGGCTTTGTATGGCAAAGCTTGAGTCAGCCCCAAGTATTGTAAAGGGGGTGGAGAGGGGGAGGAGCGTGCCTGCATCACGAAGGACCGTGTGTGTGGCTCCGCTGTCAAGGATGAACTCAAGGGGCTGAGAGGAGAAGGAGGACACGGAGTACTGGAATGAGGACTCATTAATAGCATTGGCTTACATAGGATCATTGCAAGAGCTAGCAGTAGTGACATGACCTATGAAGCCCGTGGAAGGAAACGGTGTGAAGCCGGGGGGGTGAGAGGAGGAGGTGGGTTGTTCAGCAGCTGCAGCAGTTGCGGCAGTTCCATGGCCATACATAGATGGGGGGTAGGGAGGGTAGGGCCAGCCGGCATAAGGAGGAGGATAGAGAGGAGGATAGGGGGAGGGAGGGGTTTGAGGTGGGGGCGTGGGTGGAGGCGGAGTGGTGGGGATGGAGGGCGTGGGGGTGGTGGTGGGTGTGGGGAGAAGGTGTTGGACTTGCTGGAGGACGTGAGAGGAGAGGTGCTGAGCGAGAACATTATGGAGGTTAGGTGGAGAGGGTGCATAGGTGGAGAGAGTGCGAATGTCATGAGGGGTGGGGCGAGGGGTGATGGTGTTCCAACGTGGAGGGGGGCCTGTGTTGCCGCGTGCAAGCCATTCATCAGTGAGGGCTTTGAAGCACGTTTCAGTTGGGTGAGTGGTCTGGTTGCAGGTCTGACCTTTGTTGGGGCCTTGACGAATGACGTACTGGCACGGGGGAAACCCACTTGTGGATGGAGTAGTTGCTCCACGTCCGCCGCGTTCCCCAGTGCGCCCTCCTCGTCCGCCTCCGCGACCGCCTCCTCGACCACCTCCGTTTGAACCACGTCCAGGTCCGCTGCTGCTGCTTCCGCCGGCGTTATTGGTTCCTTTGCGAGCGTGAACTGCATTGACCGTTGCAGAGTCACGTAGGAGGTCAGCCTCACTGTCAAGGAGCCAGTCGATGGTAACAGCCACAGGAGGAGGACGAATGTGCTGGGAGGTGAAGTTGATGCGGTTAATGTCATAGGTGGGTGGGAGGCTGTCGAGGATACGTGCTGTAAGAAGGGTGTCTGAGATCAAGATGCCTCGATCATTGAGGCGTTGCGCAGTATCCGTGAGACGCCGTACGAAGGAGGCGGCATTGAGGGAGGAGTCAAGGGTGATGTCTTGGAAGGTGCGAAAGAGGGAGAGGAGGGAACGTAAGTCCTGACGATCATATTGAGAGGAGAGAGACTTCCAGAGAGAGGGGGAAGATGGAGGGCGAAGGTCACGTTTAAGAGAGGAGGGAACGCAAGAGAAGATGACAGTGAGTGCACGGCGGTCAGCAATGCGCCATGCAGCAGTATCGAAGTGATGCTTACGAAGGTTAGTAGAGTATGCTTCGGAGGTGGCTTGAAACTCTGCAAGCTTTGCAGTAGCAGCTTCGTGAGCGGCGACGGCAGCCGCGTGTGCTCTGCCCTTGATGACATAGTCGTCCCGCTCCTTGTTGTACTTGTTGAGGGTGCGAGCCCACCTGTCTGTGTCATCCTCCCAAGCCCCTAGGATGGGGTCTTGAGGGGCGGGTTCGGTCGGGAGTGATGGGGCGTCAGGGGGGGAGGAGCCTGGGAGCGGGGGCAGGGTGGGAGGGAGGCCGTGAGGCGTTTCGAGGACGACGTCAAGGAGGCAATAATCTCCCACTCGAACGGAGCCAAGGTACGTGAAGAGGCTCTTTTCAAACGACACCCAATTGACTGCAGTTGTGCTGTTGAGGAGCTCAAGTTTGTCTATTGAGGCGAGCTCAAGCGACGAAGGTTCGTCCGCCATGACGAGTGAGGGAGGGAGGGAGGAGGGGAGGGTGGAGGTGCTAGAGGTGACGACGCTGTCCGGAGGGACGGCGCGGTCAGTGGTGGGGATGAGCTGCGTGCTGTCCGCAGCTGGTTACTCCCCCGTCTGGTCGCGTTCGCGGCTGCTGCCTGCGTCCACGGCGGCTGTCCGCGGATGTCGCGTCCGTGGCGGCTGCCTGCGTTCGTTCCGTCCGCGGCGGCTGCCCGCGTTCGTCCCGTCCGCGGCGGCTGCCCGCGTTCGTCCCGTCCGCGGCGGCTGCCCGCGTTCGTCCCGTCCGTGGCAACTATCCGCGGATGTCGCGTCCGCGGCTGACGGCCGCGTTCGTCGCGTCCGCGGCTGACGGCCGCGTTCGTCGCGTCCGCGGCTGACGGCCGCGTTCGTCGCGTCCGCGGCTGACGGCCGCGTTCGTCGCGTCCGCGGCTGACGGCCGCGTTCGTCGCGTCCGCGGCTGACTGTCCGCGGATGTCGCGTCCGCGGCTGACGGCCGCGTTCGTCGCATCCGCGGCTGACTGTCCGCGGATGTCGCGTCCGCGGCTGACGGGCGCGTTCGTCGCATCCGCGGCTGACGGCCGCGTTCGTCGCGTCCGCGGCTGACGGCCGCGTTCGTCGCGGCGCACGGTCGAGGCGAGGAGAGGAGCGCCGAGATGGCGCGAGGGGCACGGCAGAACCGGCGGAAGTGCGCTAAGTAGCGCGAGAGGCGCAGCAGAGCCGGCGGGAGGTGCAGTAAGTGGCGCGAGAGGCGCGGCAGAGCCGGGGAGAGGTGCGCTTAAGTGGCGCGAGAGGCGCGGCAGAGCCGGGGAGAGGTGCGCTAAGTGGCGCAAGAGGTGCGCTAAGTGGCGCGAGAGGTGCGCTAAGTGGCGCGAATGGTGCGCTAAGTGGCGCGAGAGGCGCTGCAGAGCCGGCGAGGGTTGCGCTAAGTGGCGCGAGGGATCCTAAGATCTTGAGTGGCGTTAGTCATAAGAGCTCTGATAGCATGTTAGAATTGAACCATTGACTTGATTAGGAATCATGGGTGTTTACATAGTTGAAGCTAGGGGAGGGGGGATTGGTTGGGTACCTAGCCAACATTATTGGCCCCCACCAATAAGTTGGGTTGGAGAATTATTGGGGGGTTCCAATAATGTTGGCCAAAAGTGGGCCAACATTATTGGGGGGGCCAATAATCTCCCAACCCAACCATGGAGGCCAATAATTGGACCAAGGTTGGGTTCCAACCCTCAACTAGGGTTAACCCTAGTTGTGCACCCAAACATAGTTTGGGTGCTTATCTCTATCCTAGGGTTTAAAGGATCAATGCAGGATACAGAAGAATAGTATAATCTAACAGCAGGCAGAGGGGCGGCCATTGGCAAGGTGAGGTGCAGGCAGAGGGGCGGCCATTGGCACGGTGAGGTGCAGGCAGAGGGGCGGCCATTGGCAAGGTGAGGTGCAGGCAGAGGGGCGGCCATTGGCAAGGTGAGGTGCAGGCAGAGGGGCGGCCATTGGCAAGGTGAGGTGCAGGCAGAGGGGCGGCCATTGGCACGGTGAGGTGCAGGCAGAGGGGCGGCCATTGGCAAGGTGAGGTGCAGGCAGAGGGGCGGCCATTGGCAAGGTGAGTTGCAGGCAGAGGGGCGGCCATTGGCAAGGTGAGGTGCAGGCAGAGGGGCGGCCATTGGCACGGTGAGGTGCAGGCAGAGGGGCGGCCATTGGCAAGGTGAGGTGCAGGCAGAGGGGCGGCCATTGGCAAGGTGAGGTGCAGGCAGAGGGGCGGCCATTGGCAAGGTGAGGTGCAGGCAGAGGGGCGGCCATTGGCAAGGTGAGGTGCAGGCAGAGGGGCGGCCATTGGCAAGGTGAGGTGCAGGCAGAGGGGCGGCCATTGGCAAGGTGAGGTGCAGGCAGAGGGGCGGCCATTGGCAAGGTGAGGTGCAGGCAGAGGGGCGGCCATTGGCAAGGTGAGGTGCAGGCAGAGGGGCGGCCATTGGCAAGGTGAGGTGCAGGCAGAGGGGCGGCCATTGGCACGGTGAGGTGCAGGCAGAGGGGCGGCCATTGGCAAGGTGAGGTGCAGGCAGAGGGGCGGCCATTGGCAAGGTGAGTTGCAGGCAGAGGGGCGGCCATTGGCAAGGTGAGGTGCAGGCAGAGGGGCGGCCATTGGCACGGTGAGGTGCAGGCAGAGGGGCGGCCATTGGCAAGGTGAGGTGCAGGCAGAGGGGCGGCCATTGGCAAGGTGAGGTGCAGGCAGAGGGGCGGCCATTGGCAAGGTGAGGTGCAGGCAGAGGGGCGGCCATTGGCAAGGTGAGGTGCAGGCAGAGGGGCGGCCATTGGCAAGGTGAGGTGCAGGCAGAGGGGCGGCCATTGGCAAGGTGAGGTGCAGGCAGAGGGGCGGCCATTGGCAAGGTGAGGAGGGGCTGTGCGGTCATTCTCAGCAAAGTCATGACCAGGCAACTTATTTGCCATTCTTTCCTTCCTTATAACACACACCCTCTGCCCTCCCTCTCCAGAGCCTCTGCCCTCTCCCCTGCTGCTTCGTTTTGTTCTGCTCACCCTCTCACCTCCTCAACCCAACGCGCGATTTCTTCTTCTCCCACCTGCCATCTCTCTTCTTCTCCTGCTACCCGCAGCGGGAAATGACAGCACAGTTGCTCAGGCGTAAGGCAGTGACAGCTTCTGCACTGACAACCTCCTAAAAGCACCACCCACCCCTGCCTCCCCCCTTTCCCCAGTTCCTGGCATCGCAGCTGCACCACCCGCCACCGCTGCAGCCGGGGATGACAGCGGAGGAGGCGCGGGCCAAGCCGGTGAGAGTGGCTGTGCGGTCCCAGGGGCAGGCAGTGACGCCCGACACTGACTTCTATGTCGCTGACACCATTGGTACGTGGGGATGCTGATGCCATGGGGGGATGCTGATGCCATGGGGGGGTGCTGATGCCATGGGGGGGTGCTGATGCCATGGGGAGATGCTGATGCCATGGGGGGATGCTGATGCCATGGGGGGGTGCTGATGCCATGGGGGGATGCTGATGACATGGGGGGATGCTGATGCCATGGGGGGATGCTGATGCCATGGGGGGATGCTGATGCCGTTGGGGTATGTGGATGGTAACATGGCACTCCTTTGCAGCATCTGCCATTCTTGGCGGACTAAACTCTTGTCGTCCAAACCGTTGAAGCTTGGAATGCTGCAACTTATCATATCACTGTGTGCGTACACACCACAGTGTACACCATGAATACATCTTCTTGCATTTCCCCACCGCTCACCCTCGTGTGCGGGCACGGCATGAGAGCAGGCGAGTTGACGCTGCTCTACGCCATCACCCCCCTCGCCTTCGTGGGGGGCTCTCTGCTGCCCGGCCTGGGCGGCCACAACATCGCTGAGCCTGCTGTCTCCTCCTGCGCCGTGCTCACTGGTGGGTTCTTTCACTGCAGCTCTAACTGCATGATGTCAGTTACTATGCCGTACCGTGTTGTTCAGTTCTATTTCACTTGAGTGTGGTGCATTTTCCATATATATGCACAAAGCGGTACTAAACTGTAATATATTACTCTATGTTGCCTAACGATCATGTTGCTTGTTGACTTTCTGCTGCCACTGTTTGAAATCAATCTACACATGTGTGGTACGACTATCCAGATGCTCCGGTTGAGGTCCACATCTGGGTACACGTGCTGGCTCCTCCGAGCTCTGTTCCTCTGCGGTGCTGCAGCTAGTTTGAATCAACTGACGTCATCCCTCTCGTTCCCTTTCCCCACATTGCCCTCAGGTCCCCACCTGGGTCACTTCACCTCTGTGCTGCAGCAGTTACAGCAAGTGGCGCCCCTCTCTGTTTGGCAGGTAGGCCGCCCCTCTCTGTTTGTCTGTTTGTCCGCCCCTCTGGGAGGTATGGGATGGGATGGCAGGAACACTGGGATGGCAGGAACACTGGGATGGCAGGAACACTGGGATGGCAGGAACACTGGGATGGCAGGAACACTGGGATGGCAGGAACACTGGGATGGCAGGAACACTGGGATGGCAGGAACACTGGGATGGCAGGTGCGGTGAGATGAAGTGGGACGAAATGAGTAGGCCCTGGATAGTAACAAGAGTAGCCACTGGGATGGAGTGAGGGGCCCCTGCCAAAGGCAGTGAGGGAGGTTACACTGGGTGCTTGGGTGAGGTCATTCAAGGAAGCTGCCCCATAATGATTCGCTACCCTTTCTTTTTTGCGGCCAATCCCATCCCGCCAGGTGGCAGACGAGCAAGAGTTACAGACAGCAGTGCAGCAGCTACTCACCAACGAGGCGCAGCTGAACGCGCGGCGCATAGCAGCGCAGCGAGCGGCAGCGTCGGGCACGGAGGGCGTGGTGGACGAGGTGTGGGAGGCGCTTGACTTCGCCGTGCTGCAGCGCATGACCCTCCCCACCACGGCTTCTAGCAGCGACCGAGCAGCGGCAGCAGCGGCGCTGGAGCTGAGGGAGGACGGCCCAGATGCGGAGCTCACAGGGGTGCTGCAGGCTCGATTGGACCGCATCGAGTCGTTCCCTGCAGCTGCAGGCGCCATGCATGGTGCCGCGGTGGATGGGGCGCCACTGCTGTCTCCGGGTGGGGTGGGCCAGAATGGAGGGGCAGGAGGAGCGTGTGGTGTTATCAGCCCGAGGGGGCAAGTGGCGAGGGAAGGACGGAGTGGTGGTGCTGCTGGGTCGGGGTCCGGAGCTATGTTCAAGGGTAGCAGTGGGAAGCAGGCTGTGGATGGGGGCGGCAGTGCAATGGGTTCGACACGGTCGAGCAAGTTAGAGAGCGGTGGGCCGAATGACGAGCTGGCAGGGCGGCTTCGAGCTCGAATTGATAAGATTGAGACGGGCCCGAAATGTGATGGTCTGAATGCTCACAAGTGACACATTTTCTTAGGGATCCATGATTAAGCCCTATATTATGCAATACCATACCTCCTGTGTGTGCACGAAGAAGTTATTGCATTTACGTTGTGCACAGCACACTGGCGTATATGCGTCACTGTGTCTCGAAGCTTTCTCAAGACCTGTGAAACATGCTGTTTTGTGTGCATAGCGCATTCTACGACATGAGAATTTTTTTGTAACAAAAAAAAAAAAATACAGATTGTGGTTCGACTTGACGACTGCACTGCACACTCCTCTGAAAGTCGTGTCACAATCTTGATAAATGCATTCACGCAGCCATGGTGTTTTTTCAATCGCCTTGTTGCTTCCCAATGTCTCTTATTCCATTCAAACTACCCGTTGTAGATGTATTGCCCAACTTTTCTCGTCCTTTCGTCTTTTGTAACTGTGAGCAAGAAAGTCAGCCAAAGGAGCTCCTGCACAGCCTTAGCACCGGCGTAGACCTCTGCCTCACAGCTGGACGACGCGACAGACGACGTATGATTAGACCTCCACGAGAGAGCTCCAGTGCCAAGGCTGCAGCGGAAGCCCTGAGAGGACTTGCGAGTTTATACGTCATTAGCCCATGAAGTGTTAGTGTGCCCGGTAAGGCACACTAGCGGTCGGCCTCCAAGCACAAGCCCCATGCCTGATGTGCTCTCTAAGTACTTCGCTACCCTCTTAGCGGACGTCCAGTAAACGAGACGGTGTCTCCCAGTCGCAACAAATCGAGCAAGGATGCTGAGAGGATAGGCGAGGTATGACCACCAACTAGAGCACAAGCAACAGCAAGCTCGCCAGCATCAGCTAATGCGCCACCAGCAGTAACAAGGGCGTAGCAGCAGCTAGCGTGCAACAACAAATATTTCCCCCGCGCACCAGCAGCGAGCCAGAAGCAGCTAGTATCAAAATATAATTGTTATAGTTTGTTCGTTTAATCTATGCGTTCTACACAGGGCCCTAGATATCAGACTTTGGAGTCTGATTCAGAGTCCGTTTAGACTTTTTTTTTCTACCTAGTCTGAACTCAAAGAATTTTTTTATGCACCCTGTCTGATTTTTCAGAGTTTTTTTTAACTGACTAGTCTGAAATTTCAGAGTAGTCATAGTAGTGCATGCTGAGCCTCATACTTGTATCGGGGATCCACTCTGAAACCAGTTATACAGGGGTTTCTGCCAGCCTGAATGAAAGGTTATCGGCACAAAACTTCCTCGAAACTTCTTTTCCTCCGGATGAAACTGCTCGAGTAGGGGCACCAGAATACACTACTTTGTCGACGCTATCACGAGAGTTGAATTTATTGGGGGCTTATAAAAACCCTTAAATTGTGAAACTAGATAGCCAATCGCACATGGCCAAAACGATTTTAGCGAATCGTACATGGCGACAAGTGAATTGGTGCAAATGAAAGCCTTGTCACATATGAGTCTCGTACTTCAGCAGAACCGCACATCATTTCCCCTTGCCAAACCGAGTCAAAATTTCGAAGCTGCAACTTTAGGAGAAAATATTCCGCGCACACACGGTATACAAAGTTGAAAACTCTTGCTGCTGCTAGTGCGCCCAGCACATAAAAGTGCCGAGCTGCCAGGTCAGATGATTGTGAGCTTGCCACACTTGGCACTTGCACGAGGCCATTGTCTGATGCCCACACCTCAACCCTGACTGCTCAGTGTTCCTAAGGGCGGGTCAAAAGAGTAGGTCCGATTGCGGTTCAAAGAGGTTTAGGCTTGATCCAGAGCGGTCTTTTTTTAACACGAGATGGTTGAGTGGGATTTTCTGCGAAAACGTGCAAAGTTTGACCCGCCCTAACTCTTGAAAAATGACCAATCAGAGTGCCCCATTTCTGGCCGCACAATTGCGTTGGTATGCTGTAATCAGCTTCAATGCTATTATAACTATGTTGTTATGAAACTGCATGAACATCTTTAAATTTGAATTAACTCTGACAGTTCAGACAAAAAAAGTTGTGCTTGTCTGAATTTTCAGACTAAAAAAAATAGGTAACTCTGACAGCCAGCCTAGGAAGAGGGGTGTACTCTGAGGGGTCAGACTACCTCAAAACGAATCTAGGGGCCTGGTTCTACATTGTGTTACATTTGTCAGAGCACTAAGGTTTGGGTTTGCTATATCAACCCATATATGCCTTTGTTTACTTTATACATTCTTCCATTATCTCCTTGATATGGTATCAGAGCTAGTTTCGTTCCTGTAGGCCACGCCCTCGCGCCCTGCTTTTCGCTCGTAGCTCGTATGCACCCCGTAGCCCAACGTCCCCACGCGCCCCGTAGACCAATGCGCCCCGTTCTTTCCTACGCACCCGCGACTCCCTCCCATTCGTGCATTCGCAAGACCCCTACGGGCCCCTCCTTTTTCCTGTAGCGCGGCCCCCCCCACCCCCCTCCCCCCTCCCCCCTCCCACCCCCATGGACCAGGGCCTCAGAAGTCAAGATTTTTACCCTGAATTCATTAAGTTTGACCCTCGTTTTTTAATGTGAACTTGATGTATCAGCCTTTTGTTTTTAACGACCCTGCTGTTTCAGTGTTTTTTTATTTCAAACTCTGTTTTTCAGTGTTTTGTGTTTGTGGACACTGACGACTCAGTGTTGTATTGGCGCCATGACTTGCTACCCTATGCAGGCAATGACACCTAAAGTTTATCAGGGATTGAGCCTATGTGTAAGGAATTTTTTCGGATTCCTTACTGGGTCACACTGTACGCGTACAACTCCGACTTTCCGAAAACCAGGCTCGGCCCGCCGACCTCGCCTTCCGAGCCACCACCGCGTCGCTTTCGGGTTTTCCAACCCTGAACCTGCACCCAACCATCTCGCGACCCCGCGACCTCGGCCTAGCTAACCTTGCTATATTGTGCCTAGGCCTCGTTGTTCAGTCAGACGTTGTAATCACTTCCGCATTACTGAGTTCTGCGCACTCTTTCCTTTCACAACTTATAACACTTGGTATCAAAGCCTAAAGTCCTAGGTTACCCTCGCGTTTCCGGGGTAGTTTTTGGAAGGGGAGCGATAGACTTGGTGGGCTGTTAAGCGGTCGGCCCATGGAATAGATCTGATTATTCCACTCCGACTACGATAGCATTAACGCCTTCACCAAAGTCAGAAAAATCGCGAGCCACCCCTTGCCCGTTCGACAAAGCCTGAGGCACATGGAGCAGGCCGAGTTCAACGAGTTCATACAACAGTTCCGTGCGATGCAGGCCAACTTGCAGGGTATGACTGCAGAGATGGAGCGTCTACGGAAGGAAAACGCCGAACTACACCAGGCGCATGGTGAAGCGCGCCAGGAGTCGCCTGTCGTGGACGACGCAAGTAGCAGCACTACACCAGATGAGCGGGTCTGGAGCGAGCTGGAAGGCGAGATGGATGCGGACGAAGCAAGGCAGGTGAGAAAAGTTGAGAACGAGAATGAATCAACTATGAAACAGTTGGGTACAAGTACTAACCCTAATTGGGCTGTACCCCTTATGGGCTACCCCACTATAGCCTACACAAAAGTATAAGCTATAATGTTCTGACACACCCCCATAGGCAAAGTGGGGGAGAACAAAGGGTCACAAGACCAGTCAAGCAAAGCAAAGCAAAGCAAGCTCAGGGTGGATTACAAAGTCACCACACATTCCGAGCACAAGTTCAAGGCCACAAGGCCAGTTCACATATATATATAATGCTAGACAAGCAAGAGCAGGAGTATATATATATGTAACAGTACAAGCAAGGTCAAGAGGCGAACAAGTGAGGCAAGGCAGGCACAAGACCCAACTGGGTACAGAAGCGCTGATGATCACAAGGCGCAAGTGCCTTGGTGAAGATATCAGCAGTGTTGGCCTCAGAGGCCACGTACGCAAGCCGCAACTGACCACGCTGCTGCAGCTCACGAGCAAGGAAGTAGCGGAGAGCAATGTGCTTTGTTCTGTGCTCCAGTCTCTGCTCTCGACACAAGGCCAGCATGGCCTTGTTGTCTACGTATAGTACTCGAGGAGAACGAGGCGGCTCTCCAAGGTCAGTCAGCAGGTAGGTGAGCCAGCGAAGCTCCTGTGCAGCCATGGCTCCTGCGTAGATCTCAGCCTCACAACTGGAGCCGAGAACAGAAGACGAGCGGGTAGCCCGCCACGAAACAGAGCCGGCACCAAGGCTGAAGGTGTAACCCAGTGACGAACGCTGCGTAGCCTGGTCGTCAGCCTAAGAAGCGTCTGCGTGCCAAGTGAGGACCACTCGACTCCGCCCTCCAAAAACAAGCCCCATGCCCGACGTACTGCACAAGTAGCTCAACACCCTCTTCGCTGCAGCCATGTGCTCCGGTCTGTGTCTCCCAGGAGCAACATAGCGTGCGAGAATGCTAAGAGGGTATGCAAGGTCAGGTCGTGTGCAGGTCATCAGGTACATGAGGCAGCCAACAAGCTCTGGGTACAGGCCACTCGACTCTACGGACTCATCCAAAGGCAGAGCTGAGAGCGAGTGGCGAGTAGGCAGAGGAGTGGCCAGAGGCGAGGAGAACGTGAAGCCGAAGCGCTGAAGGACCTGCTGCACCATGTGTGACTGAGTCAGGGTAATGGTGCTGCGTGCTCTGTCCCGGGTGATCTGCAAGCCAAGGTAGCTGCGCAATTCACCCAGGTCTGTGCACGTGTGTCTCTTCTGCAGCTCGGACTTCACGTGGGCGAGTCCAGCAGTGTCAGCTGTGGCACAGACCAAGTCGTCGACGTACACGAGGATGTAGAACGGCGGCAAAGAAGTGTCGGTGCGTAGAAACAGCGACGGGTCGGCAGTAGAAGGAGCAAACCCAAGAGCCGCAAGTGTAGTCCTCAGTGTGTCATGCCACTCACGCGGTGCCTGACGGAGACCGAAGACTGGCCGCCGGAGGCTCCACTCGGTGCCAGGAGGAAAAGACCCAGTGAAGCCAAGTGGGCGACGCAGCCAGATCTCCTCGTGTAGGCTGCCCTGCAAGAAAGCAGTGCTGAAGTCAAGAGAGTGCAGCTCGT